ACGTGAGATTTTTCAAAAAAATTCTGAAAAATGTCGAAACTGATAGCTCGAAGGTGTGTGCACTGTCCACATTATAATTTCACAACTTTTTTTTTTAAAAAAAACTTCGTTTATTACGTCACAAATTTAGAGCTGAAACGCTGAAACCAGAAACATTGAAACATGATAACTAGCGTTTAGCTTCGAGACAAAGTAACCTATAGATTGCAGTCGCAGTCGGCGCAAGAGAAGGTTTTATCATTCATATTAAAAGTCGAAAAAAGTCATGAACGAAAATAAGAAAGAAATTACAGTTTATTCCATAAAGAAAAACCATGTATTCTAAAGTACTGCCGACGATCGAAAAGGTGCTCAGACAATATAGCGGCAAAACCATTTTTGGACCCAAGTGAGAAACCAATTTGAAAAACAAAAACAAAAGATGGACAAAGAAAGTAAATTTGTACCATATTTTATCATCGTATGTGGTTTTCGAATATTTAACACTCAAAGACTACAACACAATTGGCTACCGCCATCTTGATTTAAAACTTAATGGTATTTGGTTTCTCTGTATTCTATGCGCAGCTTGATTATCAGCTCAGCCAGCGATTGAACTGCACTTCGCGTTCACCGTGATGTTTAGACCCGCATTAGGACGTGACCACCATGATGAGCTACTCAATTTCAATACCGAGAATTTTCAGGATACACTGCACAAAACGGAATACAAAAGACACATTCACACACAAATGAAATGAATCGCAAGGAATTGTCAAAACATAGATATTAGGATAAGTTAGGCGGTAATGCTACAAATTCATATATGTACATACACTCAAGATCAAATTTGACCCGGAGTGTATGCTTTCCTAGATTACTACGAGCTTGCTTATGTTCGTGTGAAGTTTAATCTCCATATGTCAATTAGTGTGTGTTTGACAGCTGTTTGTTTACACCGCGACATGTTCATGCTAGAATGTGACGGCGCACTTTCGTGGTGAAAAATCCATACTTTTTCTTTCTTTGGGTTTCAGCTCATTTTTGGAGCGCCATTTGCTAGATTGTTTTACAGTATCGACGTCATATTCATAAACCCACGTCTCGAAACCAGTAATGATGTCTTTGAGGATTGTAGGATTCTCGGCTACGTTGCCACTTACCAGCACTTAGCTCGCTAACTGTGCCCTGAAAGCTAGTCAAGAAGTGTCTGTCCTCTCTAGAAATAGCACCAAGCTACTTCTTCATCAGACTCATTTGTATGCCTGGCCACAGCATTCATGCGGTAAGTCTAAAAATCTTGTCGGACGATAGTTGTCGAAACCTCCAGGCACTTTGTCCCCCATTGTCCAGCTTTTGTAAGACTTAGGCTGAAACTTCTCGGTAGTCTTACCTTCGGCGAACCAAAAGACAAAGCCGGTACATTACCCGACTCAACAAATTTATGATAGGCTCCAAGCGCTTTGTATATTTGTAAGGGTCTTATGTTCCAGTAGGAGTTTTTTGGCTACCTTACCACAACCTACTGATACCATATATATTTATTTGGAAAAATTCTGCTTTTTTAAAACACCGCTATTTTATCAATTTTTGTTTTTTTTTCAACCGTATGTCATTGTACGGACAATATATTCTAGAGACAATACACGGAGAAGGTCGGAATTACTGCAGCTGTGGATGACTTTTGTTTAGCCTCCTCGGATAACGCGTGTAACTCGAAAAATATTTAATTGCGTTTTTCAAAAATTTTCCTGTGTATTCTTAAAATATATATTTGAATGAAATACAGTAAAATGAAAGATGCAGACAATTTAGGTCGTCGCTTTTATGCCTCCTAAATTGCGGGCGTAATATACATATGTTCATTTATATTCGAAATTAGTTCTTCTTTGTAAGTAGTAATTAAATGAAATTAGCGGAAAAGTTTCGCAAAATAAAAATTCTCAATCGTATACAATAATCTAAATTCGAATTTTTCCGATTGGGCTTTTACGCGCCTTTAACACATCATAGCTGTAGCTGGCTCGCAGCAGTAGTGTTTATTTGCCGGCAAATTGCCAAATCTACGTGTGGCACTGCCCTAACGAGAAAGGCTGGTGGCGACGCTGACGTCGATTGGTGGGCGGTTGTGCTGTTGAGTCTGGCAAACCATTTTCATGCATTCAATTGTTTATTTTTAATTCAATTTGAAATTACGTATTTTACGGTGTATTTTTGGCATGCGGTCATTTATCCACATTCGAACTGATGTTTGGTAATTTATTTGTTCGTTTTTGTATTTGGCGATCGCGATTGAACTTTCGATTTCATTTTTAATGATTTATACAATATTTTAAAATGCCATAAATATGCGGCTTTTCTCAACAGTTTCGGTGTAGATACATATGTATGTGTGTATGTCGGTTTAACACACTTATTGTCTTTAATTGATTCTTCTAATGCCAATTATAAAAATATGCCTACCAAATTGAATGCACATAGTATGTATATACATGTGTATGTTTGTATGTATTTATGTATTTTATTTCTGAGTCATCTGAAAAGTTTAATGTACTCATGTTTGCTTTATTTAATATTTCTTTGTCCATTAGCACATAGAAATTCCTCTGATCGTGGGGAAAGTTTATTAAAAAAATTCAGTGGCACGAATGAAATTGTAATTAAAAATAATTGAGCAAGCAAGTAATATTTAACAGCAATTATCTATATGTACATATATGTATAAATAAATGAAAATATTATATACCTACAGCGCTACTGATAAGCATTAGTCGTTGTTGGTGGTTGTTGAATAAATATCGGTTTAAATTTAAGAAAGCATCTAAATAGCAAATACACCGAAAAGTTATCAACTATTTTTTGTTGTTATTCGGTAAATATTTAGAACGTCTACCTTTGAAATAAATACCTTATCAGCATATTATATATAGAAGTTAAAAAAGTGCCAACTTTCGACCGTCTTATCTTCCAAAAGAATTCTCGATTACTCAGATATACCATATATTATATTGTTATTTAAAAATTAAAAAAATTAAATAAAATTCAACCGAAATTATGGTAGCTATCATTATTATGAGAACAGCGAAATAACAACATTTTTGCAAAATGCGGATCCACATGGAGTGATAAATATAACTGATACATAGCAGAAATAACAAAAGCACTTATGTACATACATATATATGGTGTATGTATATATAGGAATATCCAACTAACATTTCGACTTCTATGTGCGAATTTAAAAGTTATTTTATATACATTTGTGTACACGAGTTTGTTATGAATCATCACATGCTTTATAAGCTCGGCGCATAGTGTGTTAAAACTGAAAAGAAACCAAAAACAAATACATATGGCTACATACATATGTATGTAGATACGTGTGTACATGTACATAGTATAACAATTATAAATAATTTCATAATAAATGTTAGCAGTATTTCTGCATTGGAATTTAAACTGAGCATGGCAGTAATTAATAAGCAGTAACAACGGGGTTCACACTATATATAATATTTACTATGTTTTTTGGTATATGCAGTGAAAGGTGCCCCATAAAAATTCCCAAATAAAAAAACATTTTATTGCAAAATCACGTTTTTCACACACACATACTTACATACATATGTAAATATTTGCAAAAGATAAATCACAATACATAATTATTAAGTATACGTTCATAAATTTGGCAAACAGTTTGAGCGCTTGAAGAATACACAAATTTAAAAATTTTTGCATCAGGTTTTGCAGTAAAAAAAAAAACCAGTTAGTGATGGCTACTACCTGAAGCATTTGAAATTCGATAGAATTATGCAGTGAAAAGAATGCCGGACAAATTCTTAAAATTAACGTGTTTGTACACTTTATCTGGGTTAAACAAATAAAAGCTGATAGTAAGTGTTCGCATAAAGCGATAGTTCAATTTCAAAAAACATATATGTAAGCATGTTTGTAGTAAAATTAAGAATATAATTAATTTTAACAATTTTTACCTTATAATAATTATAATTTTATTTTGCGGATGTAAAAAAAAAACTTACCTCATTGATTATTTTTTCACCGGCGTAAGCGGAAATTTATAAAGTACGGAATCAGGAATATGGGGTTGTTTTCTATATTGTTGTTATTATCGTGATATGTTGCTTATCTTGAATTATTGCTTAACTTTCTTTAACACATATATAAAGCTGCTAATTCTTAATGCACATAACAAAGGCAAACGAATTAGCACGTTATTAGTTTTTTGGTATTTTTGGTACGTTAAGCCAATTAGAACAGCATAAGTTACGTCTACATATATAAAAAATTTCCCATTAAAATTGAAGTTAAAGAAGTTATCAAAAGAGGAATGAAAAATTGTAATTTTTTAATTCCAATATGTTAAATATATAACTTTTTAAATAAGTACAATAGCAATACAACTTTGATAATTGTTTCTCTGAAGTTGCCGAAATCGTAATAAAAAATAAAAAAAACAAATAATTAGACACAATAATTTTCGTAACAATTATTATAAATAAATAAATATATAATTACAGAGTAATCTTAAATTAACAATCGATTTTAACTATTCTAGCGGTTTTAAGTTGGCAACCCTTGAACTGAAGAAGTATTTATTCGTTAGTTACTGCCACTGTTTGCTCCACTCTTTTCCCTTCCATTTTTTCTTTTCCTATTCAACTTATTGTCGGTTTTCCTGTTCCCCTCCCCTTAACATTCCAATTGCTATTGCAAATTGCCGTCTTTGTATTAGAACAATATTTTAATACTTCAGCAGAACACAAAACATTGCCTTCTCAATTAAATTTTACAATATATTGCAACACATTTGCAATTAGTACATTGCATTAACATTACGGCTTTTCATTTAACACAAAAGTTTAAGCTGAACACTCACACATAAGCACTTAACAAAAACGAAGGCAGGTTGGCTGATCACACGCCCCTATATGTACGTACGTTGCTGATAAACGACCAACACAAATATATATTAACATATATATATATGTTGTTCTTTTTTTTTAATTTTAGTCAATCACCGAAAGACACTACACAATGATTTATTTCATTTCACTTCACATAAAATTCACAAATTTAAAAAATATGTAGCAAATTCGCCGCAATTAGCACTCGTACACATCAGAGAAAAAACGAAACTGACAACTCACAATTGTACCGATGACAGAGCAATGCACAAAGCAGTCAAAGATGTGAAAGAAGAAGCAGATCAATAGTGAGATTTAGCTGATGAAAATTCTCACACCCTAACATGACAGAGTTGCTCAGGTATATTATATTTTTGTACATATAGAATATATGACAAGAAGATTGAAAAAATTATTTAAAATATTTGCAATATTCCACTCTCGACAGTTCTTTTCGAACTTTTTTGCACATGTAGGAACTCAACTTAATTCAAATGCAACTCTGAACTATTGTGAATAACAATCTCACTTCCGATAATTTATCGAATTTATACGTATTTTATATTAATTTGATATAAAGCTATTTGGATGCAACTTAAATATCAAATGAAAATTTAGAAAAAATATTATTACTTACATTTGATATTACTCTTAATTTAATTATTAATTTTTTTTCTTTCCTATTTGTTTCATGTTTACCGGGTGACTCCAGTTACATGATTATAATTTTGACTACCGGAAAAGGATATTCCATGTTTCAAAACGGAAATGTTATAAAACCTTTATCTAACCAAATTTGTTTATACTATATTATTTGCTCTTTGTGACATTGCGATTTACACGAAACAAATTTAGCATTTTTCATCAACAACCTTAAAGTAAACACACATAAACGCATGCAAAAACTAATTGCAACCATCTTTAAATTGCAGTTATTCGCCGATAATTACGTGACTGTCATTTCAATTAATTTCTGCCTACTTTTCTTACTTATTGCAGCTTTTATTTCGTTTATATATATTGTTTGCATATATCAACACATTGAGTAATAAAAACGTGCAAAAAGAATGTTTAAAAGCAATCAAGCTAATATTAATAAGACAGTAATTAAATCAAATAGTGCGAGGTTTACATGCTGATTGGAATTTCTTTCGAAGTAACTTTATTAAATACATACATAAAAGTTTTTATTTATGAAAGTGTTTATACTATATGTATGTATTTACATTCTATGATTTGGTGGGAAGAAAATATTTCAAAGAATTAAGTAATAACAACAATTACATACAGACTGCATATGCTACTTACATGCGACGCAATCGCCATGACATTGCGGTTAGGTTTGATTCGCTGCCAACTAATAAGCAGTCAGACCAACTGAGAAGCAGGTGTGCGAAGAAATTGTGTTATTGAAAATAACGACGTAGTGTCTAGCCACATAGTACATATGTATGTACCTAGAGAATGTGATATTCCGTATGTTTGCATTTTTCTGCAGCTCATACACATATACTTACATGTGTATATGATATATGTATATCGTTAATATTTTTGATATAAATCAGTAGTAATTATGCAATTGCTAGATGTTTACCACAAGTTCCCGTCGTTAATTGTAAAAGTGATATATGTTAGGAATGTCTTTTTTTTAATTTTTCTTAAGAAAATAATACATACACTCGCATACGAATTTTATGATTGTTTTTATTCGTGATTTCTTTATCTTCTATATTTCGTATTTCGATTTCAATAAGATGCGTGATTGGTTGTGTATCGCATTTAATAGCATATAAAATACACTACATAATTTACGCAAAAATTTTCAAATAATATTACATACATATTTCGCCTGTTTTGCATATTACATTTTTTTTTGTTTTATAAAATTATATTATTACAAATTATGATAATAATTTCAACTAAAAACTAACAATTTAAATAATATTATGATAATAGCAGTAGATAATAATCAATAATTAATGTAGAGCACACAATTTGCAAATTTTTAAATAAAAAAAAACAGCTGCATTGCTTCACAAGCACATACACACACACACATTATGCGTTAGTGTAAAGCGGTCTAAAATTTATAAACAAAAACAGATCAGGTGTTATTTTTTTCTATAATTAATCAACAGAAATTACCAGCAATTTTCAATAAACAAACAATGGTTTTGCAATATAATTCAAAGCGAATCATATTTGTAGTGGAGCGGGCGAGCGGTTTAGAAGTAATTGGGTTTTAATGATAAAACAATATATTTTGGGTACATTGAGACAGCAAATGAAGTGTAGCATAACAAATTGTAGAATTACAAGTATAGCAAAGTATTAACGCACATTAACACCTATGTTTTGTCAAAAATAAGGTGAAATGTTAAATGTATAATAATTGAATTATGGCGTGATCTGCTTTAGAAATTGCTGAACGATGTACTTCGAAAAATATGTGAATGTATTAAACATAAACGGGTTTTTCGTACATGTTTGCTGTTATAATCACGCAAATGATAATAATTTTTTATTATAGTAAATACGAGTATGTAAATATGAATGTAAGTTAATGTAAATGTTAAATAAGCGCCGTAAGAGTATAGAATAAGCATATAGTTTTGTGATTGTGTTACGATTTCATAATAGCATTTACGAATACGTGTTCCTATAAAATGTACGCGTGTTTACTATTTACTATATATATATGCATAAAGGCTTATATATATTTCTTTTTGTGAGTCTACGTATGCAATAATTTAAATTAAGTTTAAACAAATGCAATATTCGCTTAATTGCAACGCACTATGAATGCTACAGCAATTAGGTAACAGCCAAGCAAGCAGCAGAGATGAGTGGGGCTTAGAGTTTAGTGTTTTAAATGTATTTCAAAGTTTTCGTTTTTTCTTTTCTGAAAATAAACGCCACACTTAATTTAAATGCACACATGCACACACAAATTTATACAGTTCATTTTTATCATAAATAATATTTTTTTTTTGCTTCACAAAATTACTTTTGCACTCATTGTTGTGCACACTCTTCATGTTGACCATATATTTCGGCGTTTGGTTTAGCCTATGCTTGTTTTTCTGTGTTGTCATTAAAGCTATATATTGTACACATTATATATTTAATATTATTTAATTTAGCTTTCATTTTATATGTATTGGTGTTTGTTTTTATATGCGTTTAATTAGCTTAATTCGATTACCTTAGTAATATGCTTTTTTGTTTTGTGGCAATTTAAATTTGTTTACAAACTAAAAGTTTGCTAATATCTACAAGAATTCGTAATGGATCTAATTATTTCACATTGTTATGGATTTTACTTGTGGCGTATGAGTGTGTGTGTTTCAAATCTATGCTGGGCAAGAAAATATGCCGAAAATTTTGCCATGTTGCCGCAGATTAGTTCAAATTTTTGCTTTAGAAAAATGTATTATAATGAAAAACATATTGTTTTTTTTAGTTAATTTGAACTAACATTTGGTTTAGATTTGGGCGCTACATGTTGAGTTGCATATAGCTTATGCCACCAGCAGCACAAACTGACTGTTTATCGCATTACATGTATGTAGCGAGCCACTTTAATTGTATGTACACTGTACAGCAGTTTAATCGCAACTTTTTGCAAAATTTTCCATTTCTAATATTTGCCACCATATATTTGTTCGTTTCATTCTGATTTCTTTAATTTAGCTTCCATACTAATGCATTTTTTATATATTGCATTTATCTCTTCGCTCCACATATCGAATTGCTTACCATTTTGACAGATACCGCGTAGAAGGCAGCAAAGGGCCGCACTTAGAAATACATTGTGATAAAGTAAACGATAATTGCCACCACCACGACACCGTAAGCCAGCAATTGCTTCACCATATGCGTTTGCGCTTGTGTACCGGATTTCAGTAGCAGCTCCGCCATCTCGTTGCGTAACTGCAGATTGTCGTTTTGTGTCTTCTCCAATCGTTCTTTGTACACGATCAGCTCCTCTTCGCGTTGCAAAGCACTGCTATTTAAGGCCGCCAAATCATCATGCAGCTGCGTTTCGAAATCGGACTCCAATGTACTCGCGGTGTATGGCTTATTATCTGCGTTTTGCAATTCAACGCCGCTTCGCTCAGGCAATGTGCTAGCCGTTTCCTTGACCCTAACTTCGGTTGACAATTCGGCTACGCTAACGGGTACCTTCGTTTCCGCGTCACTGTGTTCGTCAAGTGCGGCGCGTTGTTGTTCTGCTTGCAGTTGTACGTTTTCTACCCTGACCGCACGTTTATCAAGCAATAACTCGAGTTCCTGTTTTTCTTCGCAGGCTTTTTGCACAACTTTTGATAATTCAGCGAGTTTTTCTTTGTATGTGTCACATTCTATTTGCATTATTTCAAGCGTATTTTGTGCGTCACTCTCGACTTGCTCTAGCTTAAGGTTTAATTCCTTGATCTGTCCTTTATAGGCGCGCACTTCATCCCTTAAAGTCACTTCTTCGCCTGCTATAACGTTCGCAACGATTGTGGACGGTGTAGTCACTGTGACGCATTCTTCACTTTGCGCTTCATCATTAGCTGTTTGCTCTGTTTGTAATTTATTTTCAACCAAATCATCTTCATCCTCAGCAGCTTCTATTAGTGGCTTCAAAGTATCTTGTGGTATCAGCTTATTGGCCGCAGTGGCACTGGTGTTGAATGACGGTGCATAACTTTGGAATTGTGTTTGCACCGTGATCGCAGGTGGCGGTGACAGCTCCTTTGCGTCTTCGATCAATGCTTTCTGTAACTCATGTTCGTTCAGATTGTCACATATCTCTTTGTATGCTTCACTCAATATGGCTACGCTACGTTTGAGTAATAACAATTTCTGTTCATTATCCATGGGTGCGCAGCCCCCTTCATTGCGTGTTTCTTTTAAAGCCTCATTTTCTGAATCTGCAGCATTGTGCTCTGTTGTATTAGCACAAGGTGATTTGTAGAACTCTTTTGACATTTCCGCCTCCACCAATTGACATAAAATGCTCTGTACGCTTTGTAATTTATTTTTCGATTTTTTATATTTCAATTTGATATCCTCCATTGAGGTACCAATACCACTTTCGCTATCGATGACGACATCGTTTTCAAGTAATGGAAGATCTTGTTCGTCACTCGAATCCGACTCATTACAAATCGCCTTAAAGATATCAATGGAACCTTCTTTTTGGTTCAAATCCGAATTTTGCAGCCATTTGAGTATTGTGGACTCCTTGGCATTGCTTTTTTGCTTATCCTCTTTTTGTGAAACATCAGATCTGGACGTGCTGTTTAAGACCTAGAGAAAAGCGGAAGATACTTGTTATATTTTTCGTATATAAAAGCAATCAAAATTTTAAATTGATGTTATCACATCATTTTTTATACCCTGAACAAAGTAAGTTAAGCCAGAAATAAGCGTCGGAGACCCTAGAAAGTATATATGTATATATACTTATATAAATGATCAGCATGACGACCATATCAGTCTGTCTGTATATATGCGAACTAGTTCTTCAGTTTATGAGATATTGACCTGAAATTTTGCACACGTCTTTTTCCCTCCGATAAAGCAACTCATTTCGTCGTCGAAACCGCCGATATCGGACAACTTGAGCATATAACTGCCATACAAACTGAACGATCCAAACCATGTCCTTGTATAGAAAACTTTTTTATTTGTCAATATATCTTTACGAAATTTGGCACGGATTATAACTTAAGGCAACAGTAGGATCTCCGAGAAAATTGTTTAGATCGGACCACTATAGCATAAAGCTGCATACAAACTGACCGATCAGAATCAAGTTTCTGTATGGAAACTTTGATATTTGTGAAGGGTGTTTTAGCTTCGGTGCAACCGAAGTTAACTTTTTTTTTGTTTAAACATCACCGATCTTAAATTTTTTACCTCCTTTTCATCATTGCTATGAGAGAATTGTGTTCCCACGCCATTCATTATCTCAAGGCTTTTCGTCACTCGCGATGAACGCAATTCTTTGTAACTAGAATCTTTCTCATTTCCATCTTCCTTGTGTTCCCCATCACCTTCATCAAATTTATCTTCATTATCTTCATTATCGTCGTTTTCTTCCACTTCATTATCATCGTCGTCATCATCTCCCAAATCCATGTCGCCTATAGCTGCGTCTAGCTTCTCAATGGCCCGTTTTTCCTCCTCATCTACCAGTTCAGCGCGCTGCAGCATGAATTCGGAAACACGGCGTCGCAAATCATCACATTCCTGTTCGCGTTGATGCAATTTCTCGGACATTTCAGCGAGACGATGTTCTTCTTGCTCTTTGATTTCTTGTTGCTTGCGTTCCGCATCTTCTTTATATTCATTGTAATCGGTTTCGAGTCGTTGCAAACGCGTATTGACATCCTGCAGTGATTGCTTGGTATTCATTATTTGATCGCGTAAGATTTTACATTCACCATCCGAGTTTGCGTATGCTAATTCCATTTTTGAGAGCATTTGCAGTGCATCACAACGCTCTTGGTAGACTTTGCGTAAGGCTTCTTTGGCTGTAAGTTGATATGAGTTTTTATCTTCGAGCAATTTTATTACCTTAAATAAAATAGAAACCAAAAATATAATTTTTGCAAGAGAATTTATATATGTATGTATATTTATAATTTGAATATTAATATTTTTCACCATAATTAAGTACCTCGTTTCGCAGTACGCTCTCTGGCACATTTTTTTCCATAATTTGCAATTTCTTCTCGAGCGAATTGATGCGGTGCAATAATTGGTCCTCGGCAATGAGCGACTGCCAGCATAGCGCCGAATTCTTACGCGTCGCATCCAAAACATTTTGTATATTGAAAAGTTTCGATTTAAGCGCCTTCTCACGCTGCGAGACCTCTTGCATGTACAAATTCAAGCGATGCATTTCCTCGTAGCTGATACGATCTTCGCCCGAGTACTGTGAACGTTGTGCAGTCGCATCGATTGATATCGCTTCACGGCCGTCCGGCAAGTACAGCTTTACAAAAGCAATAATACAGCCATGCACCTCTTTGCGTGAATTCTCTAGCACATCAACGCCAAACTTGACAATATCACCGAAATGCAGCTCTGCCGCCTCAGTGCCAAGTTTGTTTTCATTAATGAATGTACCGTTTGATGATTTTGTATCCTTCACCCAAAATTTACAATCATCCGTGTACCATAACACGGCATGATTACGTGATAATACCTTACAATCGAATATAGCATTCGATTCGGATGCTTTACTCTTTGCTATCAGACGACCCACTTTACATTCGATGTTTGGTGTGAGGTTTATGGTACGTGTCTGGAACGGATGTGAGTTGGCCTCGCAGAGGAGTATGATTTTCGCTTGACCATTGTTTTCTGCCGTCTCCAAATTCATACTGGCATTGCTGCTGGTACCCACATTTTGTACGGCATTGCTACCATTATTTGTTATATTCGTTTGTGCCTCCACCAAACCACTAACGAAAGCTGTGCCTAACTCTTTCGCAGCCTGTCCAATATCCATGCCTATTGTGTTAAGAAAAGTATTTTGTAGATTACCCACCGCTGCATTGGCAGAGTTGACATTATTGCTAGCATTCATAACGGATTGAAGTGCGCTGCTTAACGCTTGCGGTGTAATGGGACTGCTGAGTGGCAAATTACCGCCCGACAGCGCAGTGCCTGTGGTAATAGTAACCGCTTTCGATTGACGTACAATGGGTGATTGTAGGGTGCTCGCATTTGAACTTGGATTCGAGTACAAGTTGGCATTATTGGTGCTTGTGTTACTGTTTGATATTTGGGCTGAACTCTCATTGGCATTTGTAATGCTGCCATTCTCACCGCTATTGTCACTAATGCTGGAATTAATATTGCTATTGGCATTAGCGGTATTCGCATTCGTATTTGAAGTATCACAGTTCAACACTTCCCTATTATTATTGACAACTTCTCGTGTACTAGACACCTCATCGTTCGCTTCGTTATTTGCGGCAGGCAGAATATCGTTGATATTATTTTTTAGTTGTTGCGCTAACTGCTCTTGTTGCTCATGCGATTCACTATTTGGATTTTCAGACATAATTTCGTTATTTGCGTTGGCAGTGCCCGTTGTTGTTACTGGTGCTGTAATTGGGACTGCTGGAATTGCTGTATTATTAGTGCTGGTGATCTCTGTCGTCCTTGCAAGAACTTCCGTTGTGCCTGCGATGTCGCGATTACCTGCGTCTGTTGTGTTAGTTGCTGTTGCTGTTTGTGTGCTTCCCGATGTTCTCTTTTGTTCATCTTCGCTATTGTTGAGCCATTCGTTGCTGGCTAAAACCATACCTGGAGCGAAAATTGTTTAAATCACAATAAGTTATAGAAAAAATGTGCGTAAAAAACATTTCAACTCATCAGCAATATTGAAGCAGTGATATGACGTTCTATGTACACACATAAATTTCATTAAGTGCAGTAAGTGAATTGCAGTTAAAAAATTAAGTAGCAAAAAGCACCAGGTATTAATTTAAAAAATATATTTTTTCAGCACTGCTGGTTGTCAAATACAATTTTTTATTTTTCTTTTTTTTCTTTAAATATAAACATTACTCATCGAGTGTTATATGTGCTGCTTTTACAAATAAATCATTTATGAGCAAAGGTATGCATAGTTAGTAAGCAAACGCCGCCATTTGAACACGTTGTTTTGTTTTTTAATGAATCGAAATTTATTAGAATTAGAAATTCTAAAATCGAAATTGATACAAACAACCATTATATAAACAAAAATCGTGCTTCAAAAAAGAAAAATTAACTCAGTAAATTGACCATTTGTTTATTTAGGTTAAAATTTTCAGGTTATGTTTTCCAAACATAAAGTAAAACGATTATTATGTGGATTTTATTTCTTTATAATTGATTAACAAATTTAGTATAAATCTTAAGTTAAATATTATCAAATTGATAAATATTGGTTATTTTAATTACCGTGGTTTATAGATTCTACGCTAAAAATTATAATTATGCATATGTACATACACATAAATTTATAGTCAGCACAAGCTGAACGTGTTGCATGCTCACGTAAAGTAAACAAACTAACAAGTATCCATACAATGAATACTAGAGGCAATAACCCAGAAACTCTTGAAACATATTGCATTTTCAACAAATAATACTTCACAATGAATTGCTTTCTCACACAAACCATTGAAATAAGTTGGGAAACATATTTCTTTAAAAATAGCAAGAATGTCTGGTAAAATTATGTATGCATATACTTGTGTTTACATATATTGTTGTAAAAATATTTTTATACATACATATATGTATGTACATGTTAAATTGTAAATATATTTTTTATATGGTAAATGGAGCTAGTTTTTAGATTTAATTATTTAATTCGAAGGGTAAGTATTTTTACATGATTAACCCAACTGATTTGTGTCATTTATATTTGATTTCGTTGTCAACAAATCGAAGACCAATCTTATGTTAAATTATACAAACTTTTTTTCGTGAAGTGTCAGCGAAACAGCAACGTTTGAAAATCATATAAGTAAATTAAGCTTTGAATAACTAAAAAAAAATACGATTTCTATCATAGTCAAAATAATATTAAAAAAATTAGCATATAAATACACTATGTTTGGCACAGCACCTTAACGTACATATGTATGTCAAATAGCTCATAACTGTGCATCAATAAAAACCAGAAAATACATAATGGCAACGTGGACACCAAAAACTAAGCTAGAAATGAAAAAAAGGCATTAATATGCAATAAGTATCGATAACATCCAATGACGAAAGAAAGAAAGTTGTATGGAGAGTATAATTGAGATAGAATGAGTTTCTGATTAAATTTGAAGCAAAATACAATTTGAAAATGTGTTCAATAAAAAAGCAAACTAATGTTGTTCATAAATGTAGCACCTGCATATTAATGTTTGTAAAATGTGAGTTATAGTGGTTCCCACTTATGGCGTGCAATGTGAAGCGACAAACATGCTGTGCGCATACACTGACCAGTTCCATACCAGCAAAACTGCAACTGCTACAGACCCGCTTTTATGCAGCAAATTGCTTTTCTATTACACTCTAGTCACTATATATGTTTTTGTTATGTATTTCGTTGCTGCACTCCACCCGTGGCTTTTGGTACGAGTCGATTACACTGACACAATGGTACTATGGCTATAATGTTAATGGCTCCGCAAGACAATTTGACCGAGTAATCACTACACTGTCGTTGACGAGTAGCGTTTTACTGCTGCACAAAATGACAAAGTAGAAATTCTTTATTATGCACAATTAACGAATATTTAAGAGGCGACTAAAACACTATTGGTGGCGGGGATATTCACTATACAAAAATAAGCTCGGTTTGGCACTTCTGTGCTTACTTATTCCAACTCCAGTTATAAGACAACTTATGCACAACACACCAAATTAATATATAAATTAATTCAACTTTAAATTGCTTAATTGAGTTTAATTGCACTTGTGACACAAACGTCGTTATGGGCAACTGTTCGCTGTTGTTGCCCTTTTGTTATCTCACTAACTGTTTTGCCACAGAGTTTCTACTTCATCCATGTTTATCTTTCTTGGTTGGTATATAGGCACTTGGCACTTTACGGCTATATTTACTGTATTCAATTTTTTTCTTCCTGATTGAAATATATTTTCATTGCCTATATTTTTTCGCATTTCATATAATCGATTGTATTTCTTTTCTTTATTCACGCTCGCTTTTTAAACCTGACAATCTCGTATTTCGTTTTCTATTGTTCGCTGTTCCTTTATATTCCCGCTGCTTACTCCTCACCGACGTCGTTGATTCTATATGGCTGTTTCTTCTGCCTGCCCTGTCCACACAACTACTTTTGCTACAACAACACACATAATATCTACATGAACACACACTCACCTCACAAATCGTTTGCAAAACTTTGTTCGCAATTAATTAGAAATTTTTTTAAATTAAATTAAATTTTGTAACTGGATAACATTAACTGAATGTATCGCATTTAAAACGTAAAATTATTCTATTTATTCGTATTTTTTAATTCTTATTATATTCACAGGAATTTTTTCAGTCGTTTCGTGCAGAAGAGAAGAAATTGATTGAAAATCGTAACAAAGTGTTGCCATATTGTCAATACAACTTGAAGTATGTGATAAGATAGTTGTTTTTTATGGCTGCGACTAAAACTTATTGCGTGGAAAATCCTTTCGCCGACTTTTAATAGGTCAACTTTGATTTTAAAGTTTCGTAAGTATGTATAAAAAGTCTATTATATTGTTAAGATCTTTTTTAAGTTTTTCAATATAAATTTTTTTATATAATAACAAAATAAAAAAAAATCTCTGAAGATTCGTAAGTGTATTGCAACCATATCATAACCTTGAAAAGCAAATTATATTATCATATTTATTATACAAACAATTTATTTAACAACAACATTTACAAACAATATTTATTATTGAAACAATTTTTAAATTTTATACAAATTACAAAATATTGATGGATGTGTACGCGCTATAAATCTCTATGCATCCCATAAAAGCCATCAGCTGATTTTTGTTTACATCGTGTTAGAATTTAATTTTCACAATTGTTTTGCTGCAAAATGCTTCGAGCCAAATTGCTATATTTATGTAAGGTATAATAACATAATTAAATATTGCTTTCCTGAATTCACACATTGTAATTTTCAGCGATCATTTGCTACGCATTTGACACCAAAACAACAGGAACTTATGGCGCGTGGTCTACCTAAAAAAGCGCCACTGCCAGGTGTTACGAATATAGTGATTGTAGCTTCTGGAAAAGGTGGTGTAGGCAAATCCACTGTAGCTGGTATGTGACATGCTAACTAGTGCTCAAATAATATTTCATATATTGTATATTATTTATATTTTAAGTCAATCTGGCTGTTAGTCTTGCAAATATGGGTAAACATGTAGGATTATTGGATGCAGACATATTTGGACCATCTGTGCCTCTAATGATGAACATACATGAAGAACCTTTAGTTGATGAAAATAATATGATGATACCACCAATTAACTACGGTGTTAAATGTCTATCAATGGGCCTGCTTGCCAAACAATCGGAGGCAATAATATGGCGTGGTCCTCTCGTAATGTCTGCAGTGCAACGACTTTTAAAAGGCGCAGTTTGGTCTCCACTTGATATACTTATTGTGGATACACCACCCGGCACAGGTGATGTACACCTTTCACTTGCTCAAAATGTGCCAATAGCCGGCGTGTTATTAGTTAGTACACCACAAAGAGCAGCGTTAGAAGTGACACTGCGTGGTGCACAAATGTATCGCAAATTGAGCGTACCGATTATAGGCTTGACTGAAAACATGGGTCATACCATTTGTGGCAATTGTCAGACGCGAATGGAAATTTTCCAGAATGCAACCGATTATTTTACTAAACAAATTGGAACAAATGTTTTGGCATCCATTCCATTAGATGGAAATATTACAGAATGTTGTGATAATGGTGTACCTTCTGTAATTAAATATCCAGAGACAGAGTATGCAAAAAGTTACCAAAAATTAGCAGAATCTCTTGTGCAGGCGCTGCAGAAGAGCGCAACCGGGGAGCAGGAAAATAAATAATATTTTTATGTTTTAATTTATTAACACAATTTTATTTAAGAAAAGAAATTAAGACTTATTTTTCTTCTGCTTTTTCATTTTTTGCATCGCTTTGCGATGTGCATATTTTTCACGACGTGCAATAACTTCTTTAAACTTTCGCTTTGTAAAATTTTGCGCAGCTTCGTCCTCTAGCAAGTCATCCACTAATGAACGTTTTTTGTGACGTGTTCCACGCTCGCTGTAGTAATCCAAAGGCGAATGTTGTACAGTGCCAATCTGAAATTGCCACATTATGTTTATTAATTGTTTTTTAAGCCTAAATACGACTTACTTGGAAATATTTTGGCAGGACTTTCAGATCATTCTTCTTGTAGAAATGCTTAGGATCAAGTACGGAGCGCATTTGGAGTATTTTAAGCTCATTCGTTGTTTCTTCTGTCTGTTCTGTAGCTGGTAGGTTATACCATCCAGGACCTTTCGTTTTAGAGCGCTCAACCTTTGCAGAAAGAATTTATTAATAAATAATTCTAATAAATCAGCGCAAGCAATAATACTTTTTTTGAACATTCAGTTTACTAAAGAAGTCATCAATGTGTACCTTAAGGCATCTCGGAAGATTTCATGTTATATATACATATATTGACAAAACAGTGCGTTTCAAAAAATTAATTAATGTGTGTTCCAAATTAAATCATCGGCATAAAACTTAATTACCGTTGACAGTCTAATATTGTAAACATTACTGTCCCGCCGGCCTTACAGCAGTTGTCACAAGCTCTGACACAACTGCTAAGATTACAACGGGTGAAACTATTGTTTTGCTTGCAAATTATGCACGAGTCTTTAGATGAAATCTTCTTCAAACAATGCGAAAAGGCAACGACCACACTATTTAAGTAGCAGCTTAAGATGTCGAATATATCATCAGAAGATTTGTGTTTTATATAATTTAATTATGTTCACTGTACACAGTGAATAACTTACCCTATTAATTTCCCGTTGTTTCTTTTTAGTAAGGAACGGTAGTTCTTTTAGTCTACCAAAACCAGGTACTAATTGTGATTTCGCCATTTCCTTCTCTACATCAATTTTAACTTGATGTTCTACATCAAACTTTCCGGTCCTTGGATTGTAATCGGAAAAATCCATTTTATTGTAACCTCTTTCGGGAATTTTTATAGGTTTTTCCTTCATTTGCAAGAGGACCGAATCAATTCTTTCAGTAAGTTTATCTAATTTTTCTTCAATATCACTTTTAGGTGTATGCAGTTTTGCCAGTTCCTCTTTGATGATTTGTGAAATGTCAACGTTGGGTGGTGGCAAACCTGAAATTAATTTGTACAATGAATTGATTTTGAAATTCTATACATTAATTTAATTACCGAAGTAATCATCATCTTCAACATCATTTTCCCCTTCTGCTTCTTCGTTGACCGCTTCTAGACCTTTTCTGGCGCCTTCTTCCAAAGTACGCCATTGTGTATTGCTTTCAACTGTAGCGGTGCCATGTGATGCACGTTCTAGCAAATTTGTATCACCAGCGGTATCCAAAACAAATAAAGACATTTTTAAATTTGTTATAAATATAAATATTTACATTGAAATTTGGAAATATTAAGATAAAATAATCACTGCCAAACACGCGTGAATTTGGAAAACGTTGTGTGAATGAAAAAACATAAATGTCAAAAATGAAATTGCTGCCAGATTATTTAATTAAAACATACAAATATAATAAGTTTGGAGTTGGAGAAATAATTTTTTAAATCATTTTGCAATTATTCTAGTTGTTTTTTTTTTCTTTCTAAAAATTGCATGTTAAGTAAAATTATTAGGTAAAAAAAAAGAATATTTTTAATCAGTTAATTAATATAGAACACAAAAAAAAAAAACAAGAATTAGGTAACCATATCAAATTGCCGAATTCCCATATGATTCTGCCGCCTTTTTGTTTTGTTTTGCCTGAAAATAAATTTGTTTTGTTTTATGTTAACAATAAAAATAATTTCTAACGAAGTACATTTCAATCAATCAGAAAAATTAAACTTGTTCAATTTCAATGGTATAAAATTCATTAGATATTATGGATGACAGCGTATGTATTTTAAATTATTATAAAACAACGTCAATGAAATCTTTAATTTTACAGCGGTACAATACAGGTCTTACTGGTAATCAAGGATCTCTAATTAACCATAAAGCAGGCAGATTTATATGTCGTATCTGCAATAAGCGATTTACAAAACCATCTCTTCTACGCCGCCATGAAGTTGTGCATTTGCCAGATAAACCCTTTGAGGTAAAAATTATTTTATTTTTATATATTAACTTATAAAACATTATTTGCTTGATTAGTGCTCGGAATGTCACAAGCGCTTTTCACAAACTTCCTCAATGCGACGGCACTATTTAGAGAAACACGATTTAAATTTAAAGCGATTCCAATGCAATAAATGTCCACTCAGGTAAGTCACGAATCTTTCAGATATTTTATATTAATATAGTTAGAAGTCAAACTTTTTTCAAAACAGCTTTGCTCAAAAAAGTAATTTACGTTTACATGCTGAAAAGGTGCATCCGTCAAAAACATTAGAACATGCAGAAAGCTACGCTTGCGACCGTTGTCCATCTGTGTATGGGAACAAACAAAAACTTAGCAGACACATAAATTTGGTGCACAAGGATGGCAACAAATCTCAAATTGCTTTTGATAAACTAGAAGAAGAAGATGATTTGGCATTAACTCAAAGCGTTTTGGAACAGTTGAAAACATTTCAAATGGAAATGAATTCCTTAGAAATGCCAGTTTTGGAAGTTGAAGAGAATTTAGATACTACAAACACAAATGTTTTACACAACCACAAAGATTTTAGTAAAGTGCCAACACAGCAACAAGAAGACAAACGTACAATCGATGAGGTGCAACTTAAAGATCATTTAAATGCACATGGCATTGAATGCTACCTGAGTGTGCAGCGCACTGTAAGGAAAGATGGATATGCTGTATATATATGTGAATTTTGCGCTAAAGAATTTCGAAAACCATACGATTACATAAGGTTAGCACATTACATAAAATATGTGAACTATAACCATATAAGAATCAATAAATATGTATTGAAATTATTTAAGACACCGACGCGTGCATACAAGCGAGCGGCCCTACAACTGTGGATTGTGTGAGCGTGCATTCAGCACCAAATCGAAACTGCAGGAGCATATAAAGATACATCGTTTAGATGAGCAGCAAGGCATACTGGCAAAATATTATCCCTGCGCAGTTTGTAGTAAAGGATTTAGTTCACTGCGATTGCTGGACAAACATATGAGGTATTTATTAAATTAATATATACATTTAATAATAAATAAATATATAACTTTGTTGTTAATGATTTTAGCAACCACGAGCAAATTTGTCAAGTCGCATATAAATGCAAAATATGCGAAGAAATGTTCAAATGCAGCATCGCACTTACTTACCACAAACATAAACAAGTTGATGCGGACTCTGAATTTTTGCAACAACTATTACCGACACCTAAAATCTGTACAAATGCTAATAACACTGTAAGCAGCTGCGAAATACCAACTTCTTCTGCTGCAGATTGCATAACAGCAACAGCAAATGTTTTGCAACACGTACGACGTACGCGTACACGATGTACGGTATCTAAATGGAAATGCATTACATGCGAAAGGTTTTTTTTTTACTAATTTTATCTTAAATGTCAATTAATTTTCGTTTTTGCAGACATTTTTCAAATTCCTCCATACTAAGTAATCACCGCCGCATATATCATGGCATTTATAACCGTAAACGACGCATTTCCGCTTTGGCTGTTCTTCGTTGCTTCAAATGCACCTATTGCGCGCGTGACTTTGAAACTAAAGCGCGTTGTAAAGCACACATGTTGACACACTTGAAACGTTTACAAAACACAGAAAAATCCAATCAGTCACCGAATGAAAGAAATATAGTTAATGCCTTAGTGTTTGTATCGAGCGCAACAAATCCTGCCTCCGTTAAAATTGTGGAATTTAAAGTAATAACAAAAAGTCGTGCAACAAAGGTGAAACATATAATTGAAAAGCACGCGAAAAATTTACCGCTACTTCATAAATGTCATATTTGTGCGTGTCAATTCCGTAAACAATGCGATTTAAAACGTCATTTAGTTGTGCATACAGGTGAGCGTTTACAGAAATGTACCAAATGTAATAAAAGCTTTAGTTTGAGTAGTACATTGAAGCAGCATATGCTAACACACAACGCAGAGCGTGCAAAACACATTTGTATCGTTTGTGCGAAAACTTATTTAACTAAGAAGGCGCTCAATGTGCATTTGCGGCTGCATACCGGTGTGCAGCCGTTTCAATGTGAACACTGTGAGCTCGAATTCCGCACTTCTGGCCAGAGAATCGCACATTTAAAAGTGAAACATGGTATACAGAAATTGAAACCGACCAATAAAAAATAAAGCGTACTATAGTTCATTGTATGCATATTATTTTGATTTCACTGCTGTATAATATAATGCAATATATCAAACTCAAATAATTTCATTGTTATATGGAAAATTAATTTTTTTTACAAGTCTTACAATAGTCTATACTTTTAACGCTAAAGTATCTATTAAAGTAGCTAAAACATTCTGTTGCACAAATATTTTAGGTTAAATATCAAAACAAAAAAATTAAATTACTAAAAATCACAACTTTTAAACATAAAAAAGTATGGTTTTGTAAATAATAAACCTAGCGCAACATTTGAAACAAAGTTACTAAATAATGGAAACAGCATCAATACGCCAATATCAGTCCATTTACATATGAAAACCCGGCGATAGTCCGTATGTGAACTGCGCTTCGCGCTCCTGACTACGCGCTAAATCCATAATTTTTTGCCGCTTATCAGCTACTATGAAATCATCAATATCATCACACATTTCGGAATCGCCACGTTTGCGTTGATGCAACGGCGACATATGTTTGGCAACTACGGATGCCTCCTCAGCTTCACTGGCTTGGTATTGCAGATAGTGTGGTGTGATTTTTCTCTCTGACCTAAAATGTCAAAAAAGTATTAACATTTCAATTACATACACAACAATAACTAATACGTACATTTTCAACAAATACGGATCAAATGGGAAGAATGTGTCAAGTGTTTCTTCTGGTGTAGCTGTATCATGAGCATACACTGTTGCTAATTTACGACGTGCATTTCGTTCTAATATCGCATGACAATAGGCTAGCTGATAGGCGCGCGTTACGCCAGCGAACGCAGTGGCCACTGCAGGCAGACAGACGCGCAGTGGATTAAAGTTGCAAGTAACTATTGCTGAGAGTTGGAGAGATTGTAAGAATAGTAAACCTGCAAATTGTAAGTTTTTATTATAGATATATGTGTTTGAAAATTCTACAGAAAAACATACATTTCCTGTCAGCCGTTAAATCGCGACTACGAAATGCTATTACATAGAAAACCGCCTGACACAGTGAGAAAAATACAATGTTCGCTTTCAAGGAACCATTTTGACGGTACTGATCACAACGTTGAATATACTGATGCGCCCAATCACAGAGTTCTTTTAAATAGTACTTTAGTATGCTAAAAAAATATTTAAAAAAAAAATATGTAAAAATTTAAAATAACATTAAATTTAAAATAATATTAAAAAAAAAATGTAAAAATTTAAAATAATATTTAAAAAAAATTTAAAATAATATTAAAAAAAAATAGATAACACTTACTGTAGTGGCACAAATTTTGCACGCGCCAAAAAACTGGCTATATAACCGACTGCTGTCTGTCGTATAACTGCCGACACATTTGGATTTTTAATTTTGTCCCAGAGGGATTGTAGAAAAGCCTCTGCGATTGTGTTCTGTATTAATAGGTAAATGCAAAGGTATAATTATTTTAAAATATATATTACGGCTTTTAAAAAAGGTAACTTGCCTTAAAACTAGAGTAGTACAATAATAAAAACTGCACATGGTGCGTATTGTGGGAAGGCAATATCACATTATCAAAAGCTGTAAGCAGCACTTTCCAAAATTTGTTCAATTGCAGTCGTTGTTCTGCGTTAGCGTTGAGTACATTCGGATTTCTTGTATCTAAGAAATTAAACATTTTCTCCATGCAAATATCGAGTGTATGCGCAATTGCATGCTTCATCGGCAACATATCTTCATACTTTTGATTAGCGGTAGTAGCTGAAAGTGAGAAAGCGTTGTTAGCTTACACAAATTTAAGAAATTATTAAAATAAAATTTATACTAACATTTTTGACAATCGTCCATTTCAAAAATTTCTTGCTCTTCATTCTCTTCTTCCAACTCTTCATCATCCTCACATTCTATTTCCTCTATTTCACTTCTTGGTGCATTAACATCCAGCATAACCAGTCTAAAAAAGTGAAAAATTCAAATTGACACCATCAAATCTTTCATACAAAATATTTAACTTACTTTTGCATTAACAATTGCATGACGAAATCTGTGAAAATGGGTTTATATTCAGTTAACCAAAGCACGTTATGAACATAACCGGCGATTACGTGTGTTGTTCTTTTAAAATATGGAAACCTAGTTTCAATAGTTTCCAGCACCGCTTCAAAACTCATAGGTATGGCAGTTAAAATGCGATCCAGCAAATTATGTATAGCCTCTAATTCTGTCTTAACATTATCTATTGGCGTGCCATTTGGCCACATTGCCTCATCGCCATCAGCTGGTATCCACAGTGAAATCAACTTTGGTATGCCGAATTCCACATATTTATTGTGTGCAACCATAATGTCTATATAAAATTCTGTATAAGCCTTCAATGCCGCTGGTTGTCTTTTTGTCCATGGTAGTGAGATAAGTGCCTCTACCAGATTTGTAAATTTTGGACTTAGATCATATATTAATTTGTGTGCATCCGACATTATTTGCGAAAATTCAATGTCCTACAATTTTAATGAAAAAAATAATAAAATAAATGTATACTAGTGTAAAATGTACACAATACACTTACGCTTATTTCGGTTTCTTTTAGAAATGATACAAATTCATTTAAAGGCTGAAAGTTGTTGTGTTCATTGACGGCTTCGACTGCATCCAAGATACCCTTTTGTTTGGGTATCTCAAAACGAACCTTGTTGATGGCTATGTTTTTAGCTCTTTCTCGTTCAGCCGGTGAATATGCTTTTAGTATGGACGAAAGCCCCGTTTTAGCACTATATACCGACGACATTATTGCACAGTTAAATTTCGTTTCAAAGCGAAACCACTAGTTCTACAAATATTTTGTAAAACGTCACTTATGGGCTATAATAGGGATGGCTATTTAAGAATGTACCACTGAAATGTGATTAACCTCCGCCGCAGCTGGGTGTATACTTTTATGAAACTCAAGTGTATGTGATGTTCTTTTACTTCCGCGCTTTAATTGAATAACTTCACCTGTACTAAACTTCGTTACTTCTACTTCACAATTTCCTAACATTTCTTGTTTAACTTAAAAAAAAACCAAATTTTTTGGTTTTCCGACGAGTAAGTCGTATCTGAAAATAATTGCAGACGTGTGCGAGAAAAGTTAAAAAGCACGTTGCGGAAATTTTCTTCAAATTTGGTAAATGTCAAAACTAGTGTTGTAAAAAGATTTTTTTTGCTGGTATTAGCAGAGAACGTATATTATACTAATATACGTTTTCTGGTATTAGCAGGCCGTCAGGGATGTATTTTGACGGCCACAGAATGGCCCAGTGAAATACAAGTAATTTTTAAATAAGTAGTGAGTACTTGATTTTTTATTGCTGTATAATGGATTTTGCTTTGTTTATCAAACTGATATATAAAAATTTTAAAATTATATATTTATTACTCCAGTTAAAATTTGATTTTCATAACATATAAAACGATATTAAGAAAAATAAATTAATATTCTCAAAAGTTCTAACGGTTTATTAATTAGAATGTTTATGTTAAGTTCTCCAGACTGCTTTATTGAACGTAAGAACTTAAATTAAACCTATAACTATCTTCTTCTAATATTTAATAAAACTCCTGTATATTATCTTCAAATCTAACACTTCTTTCCAATAAAGGCAACAAAAGTTCAATTTCCATAGAATTTGTTTCTATATATTTATTTTTACATACTTTCTAAAAAACTGATTTTACATACATAAAAAAGCCCCGCTTAAGCAACAAATTCGTATGGAATTGGTGCCAATTGGATTGGTTCCTCAATCTTCTTAACGAAGTGAGCTGTTTTAGGTGCTTTAGGTTGACGTTTCAAATTCACATATACGCCCTTAGCTTTAGCTTCCTTCAATTTGAGTTCATTCTCCTTAACACGGCGCAAGAAATCCTCACGGCACTTGGAGTGATGAACATGTTCAATACGTACATTAATACGTTTGGGTAGGATCTTACCGCGCACACGTTTGTTTACAATGACACCAACGGCATGTGGGGTAACGTTGTATACACGACCAGTTTTACCGTGGTAAGCTTTGTAGGGCATACCCTTTTGTACGGCACCATGTCCTTTAATGTCGACAATATCGCCGATTTTGAACACACGCATGTATGTGGAGAGGGGAATGGTACCATGCTTGCGGAAGGGGCGCGAGAACATGTCTCGGGTGCCGCGACGATAACCCTTTGAATTGGTCATATTATTGCTTGTCTTGGTTGCCTGCAAAATTCACAAATATTTAGTACGAATTTCATTATTGGGAATTTATTTTGTTGTTTTATACACTTATTAGGTGTTTTTAGTATGTATTTTGCGTTATTTGAGCACTTTTTCACGAACATTTCACTAACCTTTATGAAATGATGTCCACGCGGTCCAAGATGGAGTCGAGAAAGAAAGAAAGAAAGAAATAAAGAAGAGAAAGAAATCGGTTTTGACAGTTCGAAATTTTGACAGTTGACGAGGGGTTAGTTCATCAAAGTGGTAATGGATGAAACAGAGTAAAAACAAAAACTTAAACTAATGATAGTACACACACTATATTTCCTGACATATTGCGTTTAGTGGACATATTTGGCCTTTTTGTAAAATTGTAAAAATTGTCTTGTAGAAAATTAGTATACCTAAATCATACCGAACATTGTATTAGCAAATGAAACTGGATGTTCGAAATTTTAATGTCAACTAGCAGCTCTCGATCGAAGTGTCACAATCAGCTGTTTATACCCACTGTGTACAATAAAAATTTGTAAAGTATACAAGCTATTTAAACAGATTGTGCAAATTCATATATAATACCTAAAAAATACCTTTGGGGAAATAAAATGGAACAATTCAAAGGATCAGCGAAAACACTTTTCATTTGGACACAATCATCCCTTGTACAGGCCAGTACAGAAAAATTGCAGGAGGCAACTGGCGGTGAGGTTATCTTAGAGAATATCAATCGCTTGACTTTTGGTAAGAGCTATTTCGTAAAAATTAATGACTCAGCTAAAATCTATTTGAAAACATTTATCTCACAATACACTAAATGCAGCTACTTACGGCGAATCTACGTTCGATCTAATTGTAATTGAAAATGCACAGTTGACAGATGCCTTCGATAAATTACTGCGCTTGCTGAAACCAAACGGAAAATTATATTTAGCCAGTATTTTTGGTACACCAGAAGTTTTTCAACAAGAGCTTAAACTTTCTGGTTTTATCAATGTGAGTATAAATAAGGAGGACGGTACTTTGACTAGTCAGAAACCAAATTATGAAACTGGCTCAGCAATCATGCTGTCCTTTGCTAAAAAGGATGGCAAAACACCATCAGTATGGAAAGTAAATGGTGATGGTGATGAAGAGCTAATCGATGAAGATGATTTGTTGGATGAAGAGGATAAGAAGAAACCAGATCCTGAAAGTCTAAGAGGTAAACAAAAATGTGCTTATTTATTATATGCAATTAATATGTTAATATACAGTACAAAATATGCGTATATCCCTATATATTAATTATTTTCTCATTATGTGCAGTTTGTGGGACCACTGGTAAACGAAAGGCCTGCAAAAATTGTTCTTGTGGATTAGCGGAAGAGCTTGAATCCGAAGCAGCACAAAAGTCTAAGGCTGACACAGCAAATGCCAAATCCAGCTGTGGCAATGTAAGCTACACTTGTTTATTTACGTTAAATTTTAATTCACGAATTTCTTTTTAGTGTTACTTAGGTGATGCATTCCGTTGTTCATCATGTCCATACCTTGGCATGCCTGCGTTTAAGCCTGGTGAAAAAGTAGAACTAGCTGGCAATTTACTTAATGACGATATCTAAGAAATCTGCAATACATTTTACTGTGATTTACATACATGTATTCGTATTTAATAATATCGTGTAAACTTATCTGGGAATTAATATAGCATATTTAATTCCGACTGATGTGGGGAAATAGTTTTAGGAAACCGAGATAATTTCTTTCTATTTCATGTATGCTAAAAAATATTGCCAAACCTTTGCAGCAGTTTACAGAATTTCCGTACACAACTTAAACTTTTCCAGATACCATAAAAATAATAATATTTCGCATATGTACAAGTTTTTATATATGTAATTTATTTTTCATTCATAAAATCACAATATGTGTGCTTGAAGAATTTTTAAAACGAGAAGTAAACAATAAAATTTTGCACATAACAATAATTTAAAACATAATGTGTTAAAATTTGTGCCACGCATAAATATATAGTTATTAAAATGCATTATGCTGCATACTAGCACTCGACTCCTACCAACGTTGTACGTTCAAAAAGTATTAAGCTTGACAAGGTGTACCCTTGATAAGCTCGCGATTGTTGCCACTTAAAACGCGATAGTTCACCGCTGAGGGATCCAATTCTTTGTACAAATATGCTGGCATCTTATCCGACAGCACCCACACAGTACCTTCATTATCGATTTTCATGTCGTTAGGAAACACGAGCGTATGTGAATCAGAGTCGATAAGACCTTGTGATTCCAAATCATATGGGCGTTTCGCATTCCAACAAGCAATAGCATCCTTATTGACTTGTGTATAGAATATAACACCAGTTTCCTTGTCATACACTTCCGCTGTGGATTGCCCATTCATGCCACGATCACCAACATATTCAAAATCGTAATAAGCCGCTGGACTCGTTACATGTGTTTCATTTTGTAATACACGATTGGAGACTTTGAATTCTTTAGTGCTGGCTAAAGCATGGAAATATATATCTTTGGTGTGATCAGCTTTCAAGGGACCAACCGCCAAACCGAATACACCATCTGTCCATTGGAAGTTGACGCCGCCAACATTGAAGTCACCTTGTAATGGATCGAAATGGAAGAAATTGTGCTTAACGCGATACGAGCGATTGTCGCGGAATGAGTAAACCACGAGTCCATAAGCGCCCAAATCGGGTATGTATGCGTAGGCGTCATTGCATTCCGTGCGTTCCACATCAATCACCTTAAAATAAAATAAAGTATGTGGTTTGTTAAGCCCTACCAATTTACACATACATATGTATGCAATCACTTACAATATTTGCAAAGAAACTGTCGTCCTTTATCTGATCTTTTGGTAACGGGAAACGTCGCAGCACTTTGTCAGTTTTTAAGTCGAAGATAACGATAGAATTGGGCGTGACTTGCTTGGGGTTGCCCAAAATATCTGCAAGTCCAGTATCCAAAACCCATAAACGATCACAAGCGTCGGCTTGTATGCGGAAGGTCGAAATAATCGTGGCATTATCTTTCAATGTGGTTTCTACCGATTGCGGCTTCTCTGCATCCAAACGACCACCAGCTGGAGTTTTAGATTCTTGTGGTTGTACATCGATTGGTAGTGTATTTGCTTCCCAGCTTGGGTACGGACGTAATTTTGGAGATTTGCCTCCAGTATTAAGATCAACGTAGTTGAGTGAAGCTGCTACTCCGGCCTTCCATCTAGAAATACAAAAGGAAGTTTTTATGAGCATACGCTTTTATATGGCTAATGCTTAGGCAAATTTTTGTCATATATTAATTTATTATATTTTTTAAAGTGTTCATATGAAATTTGGTGACCGTTATTTTATTTTAAAAATTGTGGAACAAGTTATGTGAAATTTCATATCAAAATCAATAGAGGTCTCTCAACACAGGGTGACTACAAGTACAGAAATCGAAGAAGTTGCAAAAATCTTAGTTTTTTTTATCGAATCTAAATTTATGTATAAAATATAGTATTAATGAGCAAATAACAAAACATTTTATTTGAATGTGTATGTGCTTTATTGGATCTTTTAAAATACAATTAAAAATAGTATTACGAAAATTTTCATGTAATTAAAAATAAAATTATAAATAAAAAAATTGCAGATCAAATATTTCAAATCAAATTTTAAAAATAATTCTAAAATATTATTATTCAAAATCAGGGTTGCAAATAATGCATAAAAAAAGTTGATTTAACATTTGAATTATATTTTAAACTATTTTGTTAATATCTTAAATAAAACTATTTTTTACATTTATAATCGGAATAATCGAATTAAAAAAAATTGAATCCAAAATATGGGACTAAAGAATTGAAATCCCAACAACAAAATTACAAATAAATTTTTAATCCCAAATATCGGATTAAAAAAAAATTGTATCCCAAGCATTCAATTAAAAAATAAAAAAAATAAATAGTTTTAGAAATTAAAATTTTTTGCGTTTGCGTTTTTCGTCTACCATTTGGAACTAGTGAGAGCACAGAGCCATCATTTTCAATGCCATAGAGCTCTGGTCGGCAAACTAACACATTTAAACGATTTATATTTTATGAATTGTTAATGATTCTAGTTTTAGAATTAAATTTTTTTTTAGGTTTTACTATTAAATTAAAAAATGAAATTGAATAAAATTTTCAATTTTCATATTATAATCCAAGGATTTGGTATAAATTTGAAAATTTAACTTTTAGTTCCAGATGTGTATTTTAATCCAAATTCGTAATCGTGATAAAAATATATATTAAAAAATTATATTTACTATATATTTAATTTATTACTTTAATTAACTTAAGCAAAAACGAAAACAAAAAATGAATTGAAATCAATATAAGCTTTTCATTTGCAATTCGCTAAATCCTCCTTTCAGAAGTAATAAAACAAAAACAAATATTAACACTCTTTACACAAATAAATCACGTTTCCAATGAACTCTTTCGCAACCAAAAGCAAAAAACTCAAAGTCACTGCAAATTAACCTCAAATCGGTTGATTAATTTGCGCCGCAATTGAGTTGCCCATCAGATTGAGAGCTGCCAATAGTATAATTAACAGTTTACGGAGATTTACAAGGTAGTGTTTGTATTTATGTATACATGTAAATGTAACGTTATGCAATTTGCCATTGTAAGCTATTACAAGAAAGAATCGCTTGCAAAAGCTTCGGCAATAACTACTTTGCATAATTACAGTTAGAATGTTGCAATGTAATGCACACAGCAACAAATTGCTGTAAGCCGCGTAGCAAAAACCACGAAAATCAAATTATTTGGTACCTAGTTGGCAGTTAAATTCTGTAAACGTTTTTTCAACGCAAACACAGGGTCTACCAAAAATTGCGGTTAAATGGGGCATCAAGGGTAAAGTGGGTCAAAACATGTTTTCCATTAAGTTTAATTACATTGAGCTAAGTTCACTTACGCAGTCACGATGATAGTTAGAAATTTAACGGTAATTGAATATGATATCACATTACAAGTACTTTTGACAACATTGGTAATGGCGTTGCAAGCGTCACAAAATTGTGAAATTGATAACTGTGAATGGATTTGTTTATTGGCAAATGCCATAACTAAAGCTGATTATAAAAGATGTCGGTGTATTAATTGCAAAATCCTTTAAATATAAGAAATGAGGTTTGAATAATGCATGAAATAACAAAGCAACGCTGATTTGGCAGAAATATGCAATATATAGAAAATAGTATATGCATGAATGTGTATGTGAGTTACAAGTACTTTTCTAATGCGGTGTGTAATGACTGTAAAACCATTTTAAATAAGCCTTTTCATTTTGAAATTTACATAAAAATAAAAGTAAATGAGGGAAATTAATGCAAAAAATTAATATATAATATATGCATAATGACATTTTTATACGATTAAAACATAAATAAAACTCGCTGTTGAATTGCTATTTACTTCTAATAACTACCGTTTCTTTTGTTGAGGGATCGCAACTTTCAAAATAAACAAACAAACACACAGTTACTACGACTCGTTAATCGCTGTTTACTAGTTATGATTTCGCTTTGCGACATTTTGACAGTTCGAAATTAAATTCAAAAAGAACGCGCAGAGAAATGCATATGCAATTTACTTTTAATATTTAAGTGTTAAAAAGGGGGCATACTACAAAATATAATGCTAAAACATAAACGCAATACTTCAGCGCTGCTTTAAACACAAAAGTTGGGTGCAATTGATGCAAGCAATAGCGATCTTAAGTCTGCAGCACCTGCAGCGGCGCAAGTGACACATATGTATGTGGATTGGACATTATTTAGGGACGCGGAGTGGCGTTTAAATTGAAAATACCATTTGCAGGCGATAAACATCAATTCTTGCAATGAAATTGAGTATAACGTCGAGTTTCTAACAATAAAATACAAAAACTCAATATAAGAAGTAAACATTTGGTTGCTACAATCGGAAATCCGTGTTTATGTGTGCATGTGTGTTGCTTGGAACGGAAATGTTGGAAGTGTTAGTTCAAATGTACATGTGTATGTATGTAGACTTCTGTGCAACAATTATAAATGTAATATGTATATATGTAAAATATGTGCAAGACGCAACCCTTGTTTTGTTTGCGCTTTGTTTTTGACATTTCGGCAAAAAATTGTTAGCAAATGAGTGCCACGAAAATTAATTAGCTAAAAAAATATTAATAGTGCGATGTTCGCAACAAAATGTGTGGTTATGCACTAGAAGCTTTACAAAAAATTTGATTGCTGAAAGAAAAGTTCTGAAGAAAAAGCATATCGCAAACGTGAACTTCAAAGGCAATTGAAAAGCGTGATTAAGTAGTGCTTATACAAAATCGTATAAAAATTAATGAGAGAATGGGTTATTAGGTATTCTAAATGTGATAATTCATTCGCGCACAACAAGGTGATTGTTGAAAATATAAATTAATAAATAAAAAGTTAAAACATAAATGTAACATATCGAAAAAATGTGATCACCCAGAAAAATTAAACCGTTAATATTTTTCAGCTTCTGCGGCTCAATAGTAAAAGTGGTTAGAAAGGCGAAAAGGTGCTGGTTTTTGTTTCGAGTAGAATTCCGGTATTTTCTACAATGCGTTCTAAACAGGAAAGAGAACTCTAGATACTCAAAAGAAAGCCAAATTCTAGTAAATGATAACTTCAAATACTTCGTAAAAGTAGAGCAGCGGGGAAATT